TACTTTTCAAGATGTGTACATACACTAGATTAAGAGGAAAACAGATTAAAAATGATTAAAAAAAATGTTTTAATTACTAATCTGTTTGAATTTTAAAATATTTTGAAATACTTTAAAATGCTCTCCTACATCAGGTTGTATCTTTCTATCCCTTATATATTTTGCTTAGTAGTTGTTCATTCTGTCTAGAGAAAAATAAAACTCTAAACGAATTTGCTTCTGTTCTGTTTTTGTTGATTTCATAAAACCCTTAAAAAAAAAAAATTAGTTGTTGTTCGTGTAGCTTGATCAAAACGTCTATGTCAATTGGTTTCCTTTGGTATTGCGTCTTGATCTTATTGTTTGCTTTGTTAGTTTCGTATCAGAAAACCGTAAAACCCCAAAAGAAGGTTTGTTAGTTATCGTTTACAGTTTGCATTAAATTACTAGCATTTGTTTCTGTTTGTTTTGATTAAATTACAGTTTGCGTGAACTTCACGCGCTCGATTCTCTTGTTTTCCTGATTTTTAACCAACCCAAATTTGCTACTCTTGATGAAGCAAGAAACTTCTTCTTCAGTTGATGATTGGTTAACCACCAAGATCTCTGAGGCCTTGTTTTGTTACTACTCAGTTTATTATCTGTAAATATATCCCACCAAGTGTCCATGTTCAGACATGATAGAAGAAACTCTCACTGAGATTGAAGTCATGGAATTCTTGAGATGAAACAATTGGGAAAACAAAGAGGAACGTAGGTTTTCTTTGCCAACAAACAAAATTAGGAAGAGGAGACGATGTAGAACAAGACATTGAATAGTTATCAAGATCTTGACAAGTATTTTGGAAAATTTTCAAATAATTCATGTGAGCGGCAAGGAGAGAACCTTCTGAATGTTGTTTGTTTGGTACTTTGGTTAAGGAAAAACCTCTATAAGATTGATCAGTGTTTGTGTTTAAAACCATTTAAAATTATTAAATGCACTAGACATGTTTTACCATCAGTTGCAATTTTGTAGTTTGTTCCCGGGAAATCTTGGTTTCAAACAGAACACGCCATATATATTTCAACGTGAGCCCAGCATTACATGTTTTTCTTTACTGCTTGCAAAATACCACCGTTGCTCAAGAACACAACCAGCGGACTTCTAACTCGATGAATCCCATCTGTCCATATAATATCCCCAAATACATACCGACCAGAGTGAATCTTGGTGGGCTTGAATGTAACATAATATGAGTGTTCTTGTTGGCATCTCGAGAACACAAGAATCCGCGGCCAGATCGCAACTTCTACTCCCGCTGGTTTAATAATGTCCACGAAATAAACCGTGTTTTTGTTTGTACCAACATTGCTTACAGTACGTTTTATGGTTCTGGTGAATTTCAGGCTCGGTATGGTAATAGATGGATAGTTTAAATCTGCATTGGTTCGATATGAGTGAGACGGGAGACATGTAACAGAATCAAAGGGGAGAATCATGGATTTTACTTGCTGGTCTGTATAGCCAATGTTACACAAGAAGAGCACATAGTCTTCTGTTCTGGTACTGTAAACCAGGCCAGGGTCCATGGCTTTCAAAGGGTTAATATGCCCGGCCCCGGTATCAAATGGGTCAATGGACTTCATAGATCCACCAGAGAGGATCAAGTCATTGCTCGTATCCCTCATATCCGCTGGAAACAGAAAAATTAAACATAGATCACTATCAGATTTGGGTTTGCAAGTAGAATATGTGAGTCTATTAAAAACGGAACCTGTGGTCATGATAGAGCTTCTGATTGCAGCTGGTGACCAGTCGGGATGAGCTGACTGGAGAAGCGCCATAACCCCAGCCACATGAGGACATGACATTGATGTTCCCGACTGGAAATTCCACTCAATAGATCGGTGATCTCCTGGTAACAGTGTAGGTGGAGTTTTGGGAGGCCATGCCGATAATATCCCAATACCGGGTGCTGTAATATCTGGCTGCACACACCATAGATACACCAAAAACCAATATTCACAAAGCTGAGGAGTCTGGTTCCAGTATTCACTCACTATCTCAATTACTTCAGCACAACAGTTGGTGCATCAAACTGAATAAACAAAAAGTAGATGACTGTACCTTGAGAATATCAGGTGATAGTGAGCTAGGTCCTCTTGAAGAGAAGTATGCAACGGAAGGTGCTGTGATCTCTCCAATAACAGTTTTGCTCGGTCCAATTTTCGCCACTGGCACTCTTGATTATTACCAAAAGGAATCTAATGAGTAAGCGAACAAGAACACCACTGGCACATTTGATTATTAACAAAAGGAATGAAACAATCATATATCAGCTAAACGCATGCAAACAGAATGTATAACCAAACATAATGTGGCTTACGTAGGCGAATGAGCAAGATAGTTCCTGATCCTTGTCCCATGAAGAATATCAACACGAACAGTTGGGATCATGTCTACTTCTTCGGCTAGCTGTTTGGTGGGTGAGGCTGCAAATATTAACGCGGATGCGTTTGCTCTTATGGCAGCAGCTTGTGCTTCTTCGATGAACTGAACCGGACCCAAAGTAGAGAAGCACAGAATTATTGTGTCAGTGGCCAAATTCTTCAACCAGTTCTCCCATTTGCAAACTCTGCACATAACCGTCTTTACTGTAATACACTAATGCAACTGATAAGCTACGAATTGAATTGAAAGGATTTTGAGCACATACCCTCCATTGAAATACGTTGTTGCAGCAGCTAATGTACCAGTGATCTCCTGAGAAATCAAGCTCTGACCCTGAAAGATGGAATAGTTCGAAGTTTTGTTCTGAGCTATCAAGAATCGATCTTTGGGAGTAGATTTTGGTACACAAACGAAGGTATGATTTGAGGTTCAGGATTTTTTAAGGTCAGTACCGTGAGAGTGAAATTGCCGTCGATAACAATTCTGGTGGGAAAACTCCGATCAACTGTGGAAGCTGCAACGGAAATTGCCCAAGGAGCGACGTTCTGAACAACGCCGGGATCAGGCCCGTCGTTTCCGCCAGAGAAAACAACACTGATTCCTCTCTCCGCCGCGTGAAAGGAACCGATGTCTGCGCTCGACTCGAAAAACGGATATAACGGCGGCGATAAACCGAAAGACGCCGAGATCACGTGGACGCCGTCGTGAACCGCGTCGTCGAAAGCTGCTAAGATATCGGCCTCAGTGCAAACGCCTTCCAGATCCTTCCCCCAGCAAGTCTTGAACACTGCTAGCCTCGCCGATGGAGCTCCGCCGCGAGCGGTGCCGTGTCCTAGACCGGAGAAGCCGGAGACGTTGTGGACAACGGATCCGACGGCGATGGAAGCTGTGTGTGTGCCGTGACCGAGATAATCGCGCGGCGATCGGTATTCTGGATCTCGAGTACGGTCGATCGGGCCGTACGTCTGTTCGAATCCTTTGATGTAAAACCGAGCACCGATGAGTTTGCGATTGCAATGTACGGATGGGTCGAAATCTTCCCCTCCGACGCATTTTCCGTTCCACGACGAAGGTATCGGTTTCGCCTCCGCCGATTCTCTGAAACTCTTCGACTCCGGCCAAATCCCTAATTGAAAGCAACAAAAATTTTAACGAAATGGTAACATTAAGAATTCTGAAATAGGAAAGTGTCCGAGATAAAACCAGTGTCGAAGATTCCAACAATGACGTCGGAGCCATAGGCGAGCTGCGGCGGAGGTGGAGTACGACCACCATTGTCGCCGGTGAGACCTAAGAAATCCCAGCTCCTTGTGGTGTGCAACTTGAAGCTTTTGCTCTTGAAAACCGTTATGACCTGGTCCATTTCTATTTTGATTTCCCGATTTAACCAAACCGGTATGTGTTCAGATTTTCTTATAAAATCAATTTCAAAAACCGGTTTTCATGATAGCAATTTAGCAAGTTAGTGTAAACTGAACGAAATGGAACTGGTGTCCATTGGATTTACATGTTATCTTTGGTCAAGGAAAACCAAAACCAAACCCAATTCCTTAATAATTTTGCCGCCATAACTTTATACAATAAAAAATGGAAGTACTTTACTTGCTAAAGAAGCAGCTTGTGTTGAGTTGAGTTTTGCAGAGAAACCTGAGAAGCCATAGCTGTAACTGTACAACATCGATCTTTCCGCATCTACTTTGCTACAACAAGATATCCAAGATTCGCAGTTAGAGAATTATTGCTAGAGAGGAAATATAACTAACTATAACAGAAGGAAGTTTGAGTTTTGAAGAAGATAAAAAAAGATAAAATGAACCTTGTAAATACTTTGGAGAGAAGATGAAGCTGGTGATTTGATGCTAAAGCAGCATTGTTTAGCCGGTTAGCGCCTAAATATACAACGTAAACCTGCAAAAGAATTGCAAAAATGACATACCAAAGCCAATCATGAATAAATCTACAAATGAAAGGGATTAGGGTTTTGTGATTTACATGAGAAATTGATGTTGTTGCATGAACTGATGAGTGAATTAGTAATGTAAAAGAAAGAGAGATGCCACCAAGAAATATTGCCATTGATGTTATACAGCCTGAAACTCGAGTGCCCGAATAGGAACTAGCTTCACTCATTGCTGCTGCAATTCACTCAGATAGATTTTTCATAACTAGTTCAAACTAGAAGCTTATATTATAATTTGTGACAGACTCAACAAGGCATATATAGACTAACGAGTCACATCATTCTCACTTTTAAGTCTACAACTTGCTAGTAGATTGTTTGATTTATCTAAGCGTAGCTAGGCATGTTTTGAAAGACACGTCTCCCTTTTGTTCTATAGCTTCTCTTTTATCATTAAGGCTACAACAGATTAATTGTTAGGGATCAATTAGAGCTATGAGTTAAATTAAGAGTGTTCCTTTGTAGAACAAAGAGACAGTAGCTTGCGAGTTCCATCATTCTCACTTGTCCCAGAAGTAAACGGAGTTTTGTTCCAAAGAAGAAAAGATTTCATCAATCAACTTGAGAACAAAAACCCATAAACACAGACAAAAAAAAAACAAAAGGGGAAGATGATCGATTTCATCATTCTCTATGAAACGATGTCGTATTAGTAAGATAATACAGTAGCCTTGGGCATAAAACC